AAACAAACAAACGAGCGTTTAGAATAAAACGAACAAACGTTTTAGGAAACAATATCAAATTTAAAGAGTCACCAGGTATATAAAATATATATAAAATCATAAAGTTCATCTCACATAACAGCTTCATCTTAGGAAACAGTAATTAACTGTATAATTAATCTTTTAGAATAAAACAAACAAACGAGCAATTGTTTTAGGGAGCAATATAAAATTTAAAGAGTCACCAGGTATATGAAATATATATAAAATGATAAAGTTCATCTCACGTAACTTCATCTTAGTACAGTAATTAATTAACTTAGTTTTCTAGAATAAAACAAAACAAACAAACGAGCAATTGTTTAAGGAATTAGTATAAAATTTAAAGTCACCAGGTATATAAAATTATAAAGTTCATCTCACACAACAATTTCATCTTTGTTAGTAAAGTAATTCATTGTATTAGTCTTTTAGAACAAAATAACATACAAACAAAATTGTTTAAGAAACCAATATAAAATTTAAAGTCACCAGGTATATAAAATATATATACGTATATATAAAATAATAAATTCATCTCCCACAACTTCATCTTACTAAAAAGTAATTAATTGACCTAGTTTTTTTAGAATAAAAAAAAAACAAACGAGCAATTGTTTAAGAAAGCAATATAAAATTTACAGTCACCAGGTATATAAAATATATATATGTATATATAAAATCATAAAGTTCATCTTCTCACATAAGAACTTCATCTTATTAAAGTAAATATTTGTACTTGTTTTTTAGAATTAAAAAGAAAACAAACGAGCAATTGTTTAGGGAAGTAATATAAAATTTGAAGTCACCAGGTATATATATAAAATATATATAAAATATATACCTATATATATAAAAAATCATAAAATTCATCTCACACAACTTCATCTTACTAAAAAGTAATTAATTAACCTAGTTTTTTTAGAATAAAAAAAAACAAACGAGCAATTGTTTAAGAAAGCAATATAAAATTTAAAGAGTCACCAGGTATATAAAATATATACCTATATATATATGTGTATAAAAAATCATAATTCATCTTACACAACAACTTCATCTTACTGAAATAATTAAATTGTACTAGTTTTTTTTGGGAAAACAAAACAAAGAACAAACAAACAAAATATTTTAAGAAAATAATATAAAATTTAAAATCACCAGGTATATTTATATATAACATATATATATATGTTAGTACCTGGAATTATTGTTGATCATTTCTTTCTCTTTCTCTTTCTCTTTCATCTTTTCTCTAATTTTGTCATAAAACAATAAAATAAAAAATAACAATAATAATAATTAAATATCAATTATGAATATATATATATTGAAAAAAAAGCATAAGTTAAATTAAAAATTATTGTAAAATAGGAAACAACAGCAGTACACGTGTTCAGAGACGTCCGGATGGGAGCACCGTCGAGTAGAGGATATAGTAATTACCCAAGAACGTCGACGAATCGGCGTGCCAGAGGTGGAGGAGGTGGTGGAGGTGGTGGTGGAGGAGGAGGTAGTAGACGTGGACGAGGAGGAGGAGGTGGTGGAAGAGGGGAAGAAGGAGTACCGGAGGGAAAACAAGAACAACAAGAAGAAGAAGAAATAGTCGTCGTTGTTGAAAAAGAAGAAGAGAAACGTGGTTTGACTTCTAGTAATATTATTGGTGTTATTGTTGTTGTTGTTGTTGTTAGTAATTTTAGTAATAATAGTAGTGAAGGTGAAATTAAAAAAAGTAGTAACAATAATTTACCGGAAACGGATATAAAAAGAAGAAGAATAAGAAAAATAATAACATGGCTAAAACTAGTACCGGTGTTTCTTACGGTGTTGTACCAGAGATGAGACATTCCAAGAGTGAAGATCTTCTTGGTGTCATACCAAATTCAAGATCAACTAGTCCAAGTATTGGATTACCAAGTACTGCATCAGAAGATGATTTGATAGCTGCCAGTGCATTGCATGAGGCTAGTGATCGTGATCGTGAAAGACATCATCGTCATCGGGTTAACGCTGTCATTGGTGATACCAGAAGATTGCCAACAACAACAACTAATATTTCATCTTCTTTACCATCATCATCATCATCATCATCAACATCATCTAACACTACTACTACACATAATTCAACACCAAATACTACTACACTGTTTGCTTCTAAGTTTGTTACTACACCTGCCGGACTTCTTACCGATCGTATCGATCCTGAAGACTCCATTCGTGATATCGTCACTGAGAATGATCTCTATAGGTATGTGTATATCATTTACTTACTTTTTTTTATTTAATTTATGTGTGTGTGTGTGGGATCGTGTGTATAATAAATGATATAGGATAAAATAAGACGAAACGATGACGTTATCTGTTTTGTCATTCTGATGTTATTTCAATCGATACATGTAAGCACCACAAGTATATCGATTACTATGTTCAATTTTAATTTTATATGTTAGTTTTGTAATCGATTTATTTCTTTTTTTTCTTTTTCTTACACCTCATTTAACCTAGTGATCATATTTTTTTCTATATACATATATAATACGAATGTGTGTGTATTAATTATTTGATTATTTTATACGTAAAATGAAATTAGAGTTTTTAACACTAGATGTACCATCATTTTTACTACACTAGTCAAAATGACTGGTGTATAAAAAAAAAAAATACTTTTTGAGGCTTCCAGTCTTTATTTACTCTTAAAAAATAACAAAATATGTTTAACAATAATAATTTTAATAAATAAATGGATTTATAGATATTTTTAAATAACAAAAAGTTTAATTATTTACAAAAATCAAATGTTACATGAAATAGAAATTTGGAATTAAAATGGCGCGACTAGTCAAAATGACTGGTCTGGTATATCTAGTGTTAATATTAAAAGAAAATAAATAATACTACATATTCGTGAAATATTAGTATTTATTCATATATATATATATAAGTATAGGAGGACATATTTGATCGATTATGTTTCTTTTTATCTTTCGACTTTGAAATTAGGCTCGATGATTTCGATCGATTTTTCTTATCTTTTGTGTATTCTTTTTATATCAACATTCGAAAAAAAAAAAATAAACTTCTAATAAGGTTGCTTCACATTCATCGATGATTTCTATGTTGAATTTAATTCTATGTTCATTTTGTAATCGATTATTTGTTTGTTTCTTTTTTTTTTAGACCTGATTTAACCTAATTGATCATTTTTAAAATGATTTGTTCATATTATACAAATATATACGAGTATTATTGAATTATTAAATTGCAACATTAATATATTAATTTTAATTTAGCATTTAAACAAAAAGAATTTTCTTCTAATTTTTCTTTTGCGAGTTCCACCATTTTGTTTTTTGTTTTATTTTTTTTTTTTCGTTACATCCTTTTGCTCACAGAGATAGAATAAAGCTCTCGGAAGTCATTTAACATTTCTGAAAGTGCTTGACACACAACGAAGCCCCCAACTCCGTTTTTAGTGTATGTGTATGTTGTGTGTGTGTGTGTGTGTGTGTATGTCCCCTTATATTTTTAGACGAAAATAATTTTGCCAGTTGGTTTCCTTTTAAGCATTATGTCGTTCAAAATTCGCGCGCTTTTTCTCAATAGAATATAATTAATTATTATTTATAATACATTTAACTCTTTTCAATTGCATTAATTATTTATTTTAGTAAAAAAAAAAAAAAAAATGATTGATCAATCGAAGATTCGTAAATTTTGAACTTTATTTAAAAATAAGACAATTAATTAATAATTAATGAAAATATTTTTGTAATTATTTATCAACATATTATCTTTCTAACCTCATTATAATCATTTAGTTACGAAAGATCGAATCAATCGAAGATTGGTTAATTTTTGAAAATTATTTAGGAATCTTCTATTATAATTTTTTATTAATTAGAATGTTTTTATAAAATAATTAGAATATTCTCAATGGAATATTTTCATAATTATTTATCTATACGGACGGGAATAATGGCGGGATTTGGTATTTGCGGTAATGAACTTTCGAGTTACTAATGTCAGTTAATAATATAATAATAATTTAACTTACCAACCGCGCTAATCATTTAGTAATTAAAAATCGATATCAATTACAAAATACAATGTTTATGTAACTATTTATTATCTACATTCTATCTTTTTAACTGCTCTAATCATTTCGTAACTGAAAAATCGATATCAATTAAATATTCATCAATTTTTAACGTTATTTAAAAATTCTATTATAATTAATAATTTATAATAATATTTTTATATAATAATTAGAATATTCTGAATATAATATTTTTATAATTAATTATTCTCTACATTTTATATTTTTTTTAACAACGTTAATCATTGAGTAACTAAAAATCGATATCAATTGAAGTTTCGTAAAATTTTAATGTTATTTACAAATTATATTATAATTAATTATCAACATTCTATCTTTTTAACTGCCCTAATCATTTCGTAACTAAAAATCGATATCAATTACAAAATACAATATTTTTGTAACTATTTATTATCTACATTCTATCTTTCTAACCACGCTAATCATTTCGTAACTAAAAATCGATATTAATTGAAAATTCCGAAATTTTGAACATTATTTAAAAATTCTATTTTTCAATTAATTAAACAATTTTTTTTTTATAAAATACGTATCAGAATAAAACAAATCAAATTTATATTCGAAGGATGTATGCTTTAATTAGAGATAAAAGAAAGGAATTATATTTGCAAAAATTGTTTGTTTAAAATCAGAAAAATTTATCTTACTACAATTCTAAACATTTTTATCCAATCCTTTAATTAATCACAATTAATTAGGTTTATGATTTGATTAGGTTTGTGACGAGTTAAAAATAATTTTAATTCGAATAACCTCAAAAATGATTTAACTAATTATAATTCTTTTTTTAATATTATTTAAAGAAAACCATATGGAATACATTTTATATTTTTTTAATCTTAAATTTCTTATAGTTCATTATTATTACTATTATTATTATTATTATTCATCACGAGGAACACTCCTTAATAGAAATGATTCTACACGGAAATAGTATGGCGATCGTTAGAAAGGGATGTGAATTATTATTATTATTATACACACACGTTCATACGTAAGTCAAGTCGATAATAATAATTGATATCATTCAAAGGAAACTACTCTCTCTCTATTTCTCTCTCTCTCTCTCTCTCTTTTTCTTGATATTATTATACTGTGTTCGTTTTAAAGAATAAGAGACATGACGAGGAACAATGTTAATTCGTGCATGACCGTCATACGTAATCGTCATTCGCTTTTACATGAATAATTATATCGGTCAATATGCAAACTATATCAATTTTCTTATTTCTAATTTAAATAATAAAAAAAAGAGAGAGAGAAAGAGTAAAATATTTAGAAAACTATAAATTATCCTATATATATATATATATTAGGTCGAGTCATAAGTAACTTCCGATGAGGCTATGTAGAATCTATTTTTCGTATTTACCTACTATAAGTCACTAAAACAAACGGATTTTCGATATCACTGTATAAATGAGAATTCAGTTAGTCTTCAGTCAACTTTGTTATGTAGTCAATGTTACATTTAACCATTTTTCTTAACCTCTCAAATGGATAGTAAAAAGTGCATATTCGACATGAAATGCTTTAGGAATTTAAACAAGGCAATTGCACTAAGGTGGCAACTGAAAAAATATACAGCGTATACGGTGCAGGACTGATGACTGATAGGACAGTCAGAAATTGGTTTGTAAAATTCCGTTCTGGAGATACGACCTTAAAAGACGAACCGAGTGCAGGACGTCTTTCCGACTTTGACGAACCTTTTAAAGGTAATATTGGAACAAAATTCAATAGATACGTCCAACAGATGCAAAGAGTGCAAAAAAAAAAACTCCATGAAAAGTGTCCTGCACTTATCAGTCGCAGAAACGTTATTCTTTGTCTCATAACAAACGGAAGTTATTTATGACTCGACCTTTTAAAATCCTAAATAACTTTGAACTATTTTTCATATTTATATCAAGGACAACAATTCGTGTGTATTCAATTCGAAATATGAATACTAACCAAATTATTGAGAGAATCGGCATGAGTTGGGCAAAGTCTGAGAGCGTTATTGTAACATTCTTCTGCTGTGACCACTTGTCCCTTCTCCTTAAGAGCATTCGCCAAATTGCAATAGGCATCTGGAAAGTTTGACTGTAGCTCAATGGCACGACGATAATTGTCAATCGCAAGATCAATGAGACTGCAATCAATAAATAAATTGTTTTAAACATCATTCACGTTCATCTTAACATTAAACATCATCAATGTTCATCTTAACGTTAAAGATATCATAAATGTTCATTTTAAGGTTAAAAGTATCATCAATGTTCATTTTAAGGTTAAAAATCATTATTATATATATACTAGCTGGCTCCCTCATGAATTATAGTGGTCCATGTGAACCAAAATATGATATTTCGTATAGATAAAGGTTAGGTTATGTTTAAATGTTTCGCGCAATCACCAAAATCTATGACCAACAGATGGCGCTGAACTTACCTGTATCTTTTTCTTTATTTTTTTTTTTTAAATTAATTAATTATTTTATAAATAAATTAATGTAATAAAAATGTAGCTGCATGAGAATACAAAGTAGTTTCAAAATTTCAAGACAATCGGTGAAGTATATTTTGGAAAAAATATTGTTGATCAATTCTAAGAATAAAAATTTTATGAAAAAAAAAGAAATAAAAAAAAAAAAACAAACGAAGAAAATGCAGAATTTATTTCTGTCGTCGAATAATATTTAAGGACAAAGAGAGAAACAAATAAAAAAAAAAAAAAAGAAGAAAAAACAAAATTTGCTGCTAACGTATAAAATCAGGGGAATTTGAAAATAAATATTGCACACGACTGCAAGAATTTTTATGACATTCAAGGATAAAAATAGTTAAAATATATATATGTGTGTGTGTACATATATACATAATATACATGCAACACACGTATAGAACAGAACATATGGATTCGTGGAATTATTCCACTCGTGTTTTCAAAAACCATGAACTTCGGAAAAAGATTCTTTTGAATTTAGCCGACATTATTTTTATCCACTGTTGTTATCATCCTCACGTTTTATTATTATTATTATTATTAATATTATCATTATTATTATTATTATTATTATTATTATACATGAATATTATACGTTCATTGAATCGATTTTTAATCACATTTGAGATAATTAAATAAAATAAATAAACAAAAAGAAAAGAAAAGAAAAGTCAAGTATTCTTCTTTTCTTCCTTTTTGTTTGTGTGGCTGTTTGTTTGTTTGTTTTGTCTCTCTGCTGTTTGTTTATTTGTTTGATGATAGATTTCTCTTATTCTTTTCTTCTTTTTCTTTCTTTTCGTCTTTTACTTCTTCTTTGTTTATGGTCGACTTCTTTCTAGTGTTTCACGTATTATAATTTTCTTTTGTTGTGTGTGTTTCATATATACGTGTCATGTGTACTTATTTTAAGTAATTGTTTTCTTTTCTGATTCTTTTATACAAAAGTCTACATCACACACACACACACACATACACATTGTGTGTAAATACACATAATACATGTGCATAAATACACCTAACAATCTTTCCTTTCTATTTATGGGGGTTCTTCTTTCAAGTGATACTTCATTGGTCAATATATAATCTGTAGTATAATAATTGGAAATCTAATGACACAGTTAATAATTTTTTTCATTTTGGTTACTTTCTAGTAACTTATATTTATTCTAGGAATAAATAAATAGAAATTTCCATTTTATTGATATTTGTTCATTCTTATTTTATATTTGTATATGAATTATGTATTGTATATTAATATTGTATATATATATATATATATTGTTATATATATATAATAAATAATATATATATATTCAAGTATATGATAGACAAATATATTATATACATGTAATAAATAATTTTGTGTTAGATAAATATATATAGAAAATAAATAAATAAATATGTATTAATTTACTTTGTATTAAAGAAATATACGAGTAATGAATGAATAAATATAATAAATAATATAAATATAAAATAATAAATAAATAAATAAATATATATATATAGATATACTTTTAACTCGAATAAATATAATAAATAATTCTAACGAAATGGACACACGCACACACACACACACACACACACACACAATAAAATAAAATGAAATAAAAAAATGAACACAGAATAAAATAAAATAAAATAAAATAAGAAAATGAAAGCAA